ACCTAGAGATTTTACAGTAATAGACGAACTTTTAGAAGCGACCATAAACATGACGAGAAACGACAGTGACAGTGAAATCGAGGGGGAATTATAACCGATCGATAGAACTGACGGGACTGGCACGCTTAGTATGCCTAGTGTACATAGTATAGCAACTACACCTAAAACGCGATATTTTTGATTACGATGGGCCATTTACATCAGCTCACGCAGCGTGCATGGAGGAGCCCCGGCGGCCGGCCTGTATGTCAGGCGGTGTAATTTGGCCGAACCATCCACACCAGCGGACATCAGCGATGAGGCACTTCAAAAAGTCGTGGTAAAGTTAACTCTCCACAATAAAATAATACAAATACACTTCTACGATGCGTTTACGAACAGAGCGACAATCTATTCGCGGACGGAGGATTTACTGCATGGATGCGGGTATATGCAGCGCGTAGCCTGCTGACGAAGTACAGCGTTATTCTCAAGTGGCACCCCCGCAGCACCATCACTGAATTTCGTACAGAGAAAAGGCTATAAGAGAATTTCCAACTCGCTGACGAGATTGGTCTCGACGATAGAGCTGTCGTCTTCGACAGGAATAGCTGCAACAAGAAAATGCTTACAAATTTCGTAAACTGTGTGTACACCAGGGGGCGGGCAGACCGCAGCACAAATTGGATACGTTTGCTGTTCGCCAGCACTTAATATATTCGTTCGGCCGGAAACTGTTTCTCACTAATTTCTGAGCAGAGTACGACTTCATTGTAGTTGCGAACCTGGCGCAAAGGAACGCGCCCAGCTCCCCATTCTGGGACATAAGAGGCTGCATGCCGCTATACGGCGTACCGCGTACGGCATATGGAAGAGTCAATACAATACACTTCTATAATGAAATACAGGCTGCAACACTCCAAGCTGTGGTAAATGGCATTGAGATCTCGGGTAACGACTTCAAAGCATGCGATTGACTTCAAAGATGTGCGATTTTATCATCAACGTTGCCAAGTTCGCGAACGTGATCCACCGGAGCTCCATCAACAGTAGCTCCCGGGTGGAGCTCACAGCTGTTCCGCAAGATCTCGCAAACATTTCATTTATTGAGAACATATACGCTTACTCTCTAAAGTGCCCAATTTTTAAACAAACACATTTTCAATTATTGAGAAGTGTAAACAAACATCGCTAGGTCTATAATATTCTGTTCATGAGCTTGTATCACGCTTTTTTATTGAGAGAAAAGAAACTCTCCTCCGAGGCTTTGCTGATAATTACCAAATGCCTATACATATATTAATATAAGACAAGTGACGTGTAGATATATGGTTCTGCTACAGCTGTTGTACTTTGTAAGATTTACTTTAATATGAATATGCAGGCTTTGTAGTTTTGTATTAGTTTTATCTTCCGCACATTTATGATATATTCCAATATAATTTCAAAAGTCTCTCCATCCCTCTTAAAACCGCAAAATTAAAAAAATTAGGTTCTCCCATCTACTAAACTAAAACGCTAGACCTAACACACATACAATACAATGCATGGTCTTATTTTCCCAACGCACTGTGCAGCTTCCATCACTGTCGCTATTCCATTAGCAAAAACTGGCGGTGTGCGAACCAGCTTCGTTCTTTTGTAATTTTCCTGTGTGCACATATACAAGAAATTGTAAATTGTGTATAAATGTAAAAGTAGTCACTTTCTTGCCCATCAAATAGAATTCGTTATTAATAACTTCGAACGCATTACTTCCAAGCCGAACGCGACTTTTAAAATGATATAAGCTTTATGGGTTATTAAGAAAAATGTATTCTTCGAAGTTTTACTGCACTTTTTTAATACAACAGCTGTTTGCGTTATTTATTTATTTATATGACTGTTCGGTTTTCGAATAAGCAGCGCTTAATAACTCACTCTTTATAATTATGTAATAATTATTTTCCTTTTTCCAGCTTTTTCTTAGAGAAAAATATGTTTCCATACTTTTTGCATATAATGCGTCAAAAAAGTGGAGGTTCCAGTTTTGTATGTGTTCAATTATTACAAACTCTGAATATTCTCTTCGAAAATATATGTAATGAAACGTCATTATGCAGATTGATGCTAACTTAGTGAAACATTATAATAATTATTGATAGCTTCTTATTTTATTCTTAGATTATTTGTTAAGTAACAATCACGTAAACACAATAATCGTGCATAAATTTGATTTTTTTTTTCTTTCCCTTTGATGGAAAAAGTTCGCCACCGCTAATAATTATCTGATCTAGTTACTTAGGGCAAAAATCTTATGTATTCTGACGAACAGACAATTATGATCTACTTGTTTGCTATTCCTGGAAGAAAAACTTTAAAAGGACTCAATGATCACAAAAATCTATCCATCTAAACGATCTACAAATTCTTGCTCCAAACGCTTTCTCCGTTCTGTGGTTTCACCTTTTTCCGCCTGGGTAACGCTTTGAGGTGCTGTGATGCTTAGGTGTGCTTAGGTGTGCGCTTAAACAAAAGACAACTGCATTCCCTTATTCGGTAATATTTTAATCATTTAAACAATGATTAGAATTTATTGGAATTTTTGTTTTCATAAATATGGTTAACAAATCGTTTTCGTGAAAAAGGTGCAGATCTATATGACACAAATGCAGATGCCTGACAGTTAATTAGATCTTTGGGTGTGAAATTTGGAAATTCTTCATTGTTATGCGAAAAGAAAGGAAAAGAAAAAATTTGATGGCACTGCTTACCTTTATGATTTCGCTTTTCAATGGTTTCAAAGGTTTACAAAAATGTAAGAAGCTATGCAAGTAAAGGTGTGAAAATATTGTGAAAATGTCAAGACAAATTAGAGTAAAAAGCATAGAAATTCGCTAAAGCTTTATCTTCAATAAGTATATAACGATCTTGTCGATTCGTAAAATAATCATTCGACAGAATGGCTCCTGATATAAGTATAGCATCGTCGAATAAATATATTTTCATATGCTGCAAGCCTAATAGTTCATTCCAACGTGGTGGTATCCAACGTTTAGAAATTGTCATCCTTATAAACGTACATAGTAAAATGTTATTTTGCACCCAATCTATTCTTAATGAAAAAAGGAATTGTTAGCGATATATATGAGAAAAGAGATCGTTGGAGTAGTTACGATCCCGCCAATCATCGCGAAATTATAGAAGAATATGAGAAGGTGGAAGAAGCTAAACGGCAATTAAAAGCTGAAAATATAAAGAATGGTTAGTAGAAACCTCCGAAACTTCTATTCCTATATACATTGCCGGAAACTGTTTATTAAATTAGATCCTGATGCGGAAATATCTCGCATGGGAGGCTCATGGTAAGGTGGTCGATGTTCATTTATTGGCTGAGCCTACTAAGCTGGAGCTATTACAAAAGGAATACGAGAAAAAGAAGGAACAGTTCAAATCAAGTGTAAGAATCGGAGGTCAATTTAGTTTAATCATTCACAACGTAGCGGCTTTTGGAGATTGTTTTGAAAAATCTCCTACTAACCTTATGAGATCCAAAAAATATAATAACGAACATATTAGCAATTGGGATTTTCTCTCATAAACAGTGCCTCTACTAGTGCTATATGACTTTACTCTTTTTATCTTAAAAACTTGTACCACTGTATAACTTTGTTTTACCGTGCAATAATATATTTTATTTTTTTTCAGACGAAGGAACATATTGTGGAAAAGTACCGAAGATTATATAGAATATTCGCGTAGCGGCAAAGTCATCAAAGGAATGGAAAAACCCAAAGCTCACAGTATATATGAGGAGGATATTTATCTTAGTAATATATAAACTGGGATTATCTGGGAAATATGAAAATCTCATATTAATTCTTTCCATATATTCATACAAGTGCTTGAAATATAATATATAATCTTGTATATATAAATGTATAAAAAATATGCATTCATCTCCCCTTGTACGTCTCCTGAATAGTTTTATACAATTTTTATAGGCGTGGCATTAGCCAGGCTGCCGGATGGACTATCTAAGCAAGTATCACATTTCGGATTCCAAATTGGCTAGAAATCTTATTTACGTTTATTGTGTTACCGCAGAATAGAAACGACGAGGCTGGTTTAAAAATTTCTGAAAAGAAAAATGTTCAACGATTTTTCGTTGAAGTTTATAAGAATTTTTCCGTTATGAGGTAATTTGCTAGCTAAAAATGGCGACAATCATACCAAATCCCACCGATTTGAAGTAAATCTTACAAAATACAACAGCTGTAACAAAATCATATACCCAGCTGCTACGATTTTTTCCACCACTTTCCATTTAACAGAGACGCTGATGGCTTCGCTGTTACTTCTTCCAATTTAACAGATGAGAGGGATTTTTTATTTTTCTTATTTATGAAAAGCAACTCTGTGCTCTCTCCGTTCACCACACATAGTACGTTTCCTTTAAAGAGTATAAAGGAAAAAGCTAGCTAACGGCTTTTTGTGAAACAGAAGAAATTTGGCAAGCGCAAAAAGAAGTGATTTGAATTGAATAATTAAGAAATTAAACAAAATCTACCACAAAAAAATATATAAAAAAGTGCGAAATAAAATATAAAGACACAACTGCAGTTTTTAATACATATATATCAAATTAAGTGTATTAAAATTGTTACGTATATCTAAAATTTTGTATGTTAAAGTTATTAAATATATCTAACAAAGAAAATAAGTACATTGACTGGTAAAAGCATTTTTAATTATTTACAATTTCATTTATTACCATGGAAGCCCATCTGAGATTCGCATAGTTTTCCTGGGAATCTCGTTGGTGTCTCCTTATTTTATATCATACTGTATAGATAATTAATTAATAAATTAATTAATAACCTCCAAATATTCAAAAGAATAGCCTTCCAATCAGAATGCATGTTCGTTAAAGTAAATCAAACTTGCAGTTTACATTTTTAACCTCAGCACAAATAGTACTTACGTTTATTCATACAACAAAAACATACAAGTATGTGCATATTTGCTGGGTAATTAAGAAGTTTATTAATCGATAAAGTCAATAGCAAGCATATTGTTCGTATAGCAGTTCACGTATTCTGTAATACTCTTCAGATAGACAACCTTCCATAGTTACTTTTCCCGTATCAATACGTCTTAAAGCCAAAGTACCATTACAGCACCAAAGCACACCGCCCGAAAATTCAGAGTTGATATTGTGGCGCATAAGTACTTGCTTAAAATCAGACAGCTTCAACTCGTTAATTAATACAGCATTATGCACCGGAATCTCATCGGCCTCTAAGGATTCTAAAGTAAAAGTCTTGTCTTCTTCGGCGGCCTCGGTAACGTCGTTATCGCCGTTACTTTCGTTGTTTGGAGATTCTATAGCCTGCTTGCGCATACCTATACGTGCGTCCACCCACGCAATTTCAGCGTTTTTACTTTTTTGGAACTGCAGTTGGGTTACCAAGCCTTCAGTAAGTCGTACTTGATAGATATGAGTCTCAGTTGTCACATCTATGATCTAAAAATAAAATTTGATAAGAAAATGGTTTATTGAAAGACAATATTCAATACCTCCCCTTTGTGAGGAGTGAAAATCCTCGCTCCGATGTTTTGCTGGCAATGTTTGGCCACCACTTGTGTGGCGTCTTCGCTGCCGTGGACTACAATGACCCGCCTTGGTCTTAGCTGTGAGAGTATTTTCAACATAGATTCACCATCAGAACGACCCTCAAAATCTATTCGTTGTATTTGACAATTTATTTCTATAGTTTTACGTTGATTAAAGCATTTAGTAGGCTTCTCCAGCAGCTGGATTTCTACAAATGGATAATATCGATACAAAATTGTGGCAATTATTTGAGTTAATTTCTTGCGTTTTGTTTTGAGTTTTATTTAGCGTTTCTGAATGGTTTCTTTGTGTTGTCTACGTCTGATTCTGAGCAATAAGCTAAGAATTGAGCATAAGCTAACTCATAGCCGACATATATTGCCGATATTTTCAATATATGTTCTCGAGCCACTGAAACAATGATTGCTTCTTTTATTACTTTCCGTTGAAGGGCATTAAAAAAGTGACAATAATTGACACAGTTGAACAATTGCAATTTGCAAATATAAAACTTAATAGCGTTTTCCTTTCATGCTTGTCTTGTAGAATGAACTTTTGACCATCGATAAGACATATCTTTGACATTACTTACTATCTTTCGAGCTTATCAAATAAACATTTTTTTCAAATTAAAGCAAAAACCAGTAGGAATGAAAACCTTGTCTTACCATCTTCAGTTTTACTTTTCTCCCCTTTCATCTCTTCCTTCTTGATATTTTCTTTGTTATGCTCTTCTAAACTGGCTTCATAATTCATATCCGCTATACGATAATCATCCAAATTGATTACCTCGCCATATTCATCACATTTAATTTTCTCTTCTTGAAAGGGAAACATGACGTTATGGCGTTTATTGGATTTAAAAAAACCGGAATGCTGTCGCCCTTCAGATCGTATTACAATGTCATGTTTGCCAGTAATTATGCTCATTTCAATATCATCGTCTGAGTCCGAACTGCTCTCTTCTTCAACGTCTTGCTTAACGATAAGACGATTAACTTTTTCTCCTTGAGTACGTAAATACTCTTCCAGTTCAGCTCCCTCCAATTCAACGCGTCGCCTAAGGTCAAGCTCAATTTTACGCCCCGATATATGATTGTCCACCAAATCCGTAGCTAAAGTACCTTGAGAAGTTCTTTAAGGCAAATTTTTAATAGCAACCATACATAAACTAGTTAAAAAAATACCTAGAGGTGAATATAACACTATTGATAGGATTTCCAGCCCACTGAACAAACAATTCGCGCGTAAAGCCACTTTCTAAATCTGGTGTACTGGCCAGTACCACTTTGGGTCCCGGCAGTAATGACAATTCCGCCAAATTATGACATAACTGCATATGTTTAAATTGAAAAGGATTATTACGCGCACCTTCAAACGTCTTCATCAGTTTATCGCTCATCCATTCGATTTGCGATTTGGCAAACTCCACAACATTATAACTGAAATTATTTAATAGAGCCAAAGAATAAGCCATCAAGCCGGATTCACGATTCTTCCACAGTTGATCAAGCATGTGAGCTAATTCCAAAACTCGCCCTGCTGTATCTACTGCTATCAAAACATTGCCGTTATTACGCACAGTCTGTAAAATATTCGTCATTAGTTTTTCATCCCGAGCTCGTCGTCGAGCTTGTTGGTACAAAGCGTTGAATGCATCGGTTATTAATAGGGACGGCCGTTGGAATCGTTCTAATTCACAGCCATTTAGATGACGTTCTTTTTTGTGATTGAAATCCATCGCGTAAACAATATCTTCTTCTCCCACCTTAAGGATTTTCCAAATTGTGCCACCTATCATATGACCCGCGGGCAGCGGAGTAATAGTGATCCCATATCCTTTGCCTTTTAGGCTAAAAGTTTGATTATATTTTAATTGAATAATTTTATCGAACGCCGCATCAACATCGTCCAATGAAAACAAATCAAAATCGTACATATTAAAATGAGACATGTACAAATCATACATAAACATTTGACCCATTTTATGGACCGGAATCGTAGCATATATGGGACAATTTAGGCCTAGTTTGCCGACTAGGTAAGGTAAAGCCCCCAAGTGATAAACATCGGGATGCGACAGTAAAACAGCATCTATTGTATGAACATGTCTTCATGCATTAAAAAAAGGTATGTTTTCATATTTCTTAATATATTAAAAGATGATTTCCTTACCTCTTCAAATCTTTAATAAAGTTAGCATCAAATTTCTCATCCCAGCCACAATCTAGTAATATACGTACCTTCAAAATTAACCAAAAAATAAAATTATATAGGCACATATATATATGTACATAGATGTATATAGGTGCTTGCGCGTGTTTTGATCAGCGACATTTATTGGTGAAAATCATATAGTAGTAGCAGATTCATTCAGTGTATACAGACGCTTATTATGGACCGCGCAAAATTGCATTTTCGGCATTCATTACTATTATTGATTCCAAGAAATTTGCTGCCGAAACCCATTAAACACTTTTAGAAGCTTGCGGTGAAATGTTGCTAAAAACATCAATAATAGCGACTAAAGTGGCTATCACACGAATTGACTAAAAATGCGGTTTTGACTATTTGTTGTAAGATTTGTGAAGCCTACACTCTTGCAACTCGAGTAGAAAGTTCTGCCAAACTAAGCGTACTCACCAAAAAGTGACAGACCAGACATGGCGCCTTCTGAATACTGCTTGTTCAGACTAATGCACCAAGGCATGAAGATGTTTGGATGGCTGCCAAACGAATATGTGTTCTATCGACAGGGTATCGTTATGTTGCCAGTAATATTGGTAAAAGTTATAGAAAATGATAGAAAATATATTGATTAATATATATTATACCATTTTTTCTCAATTATTGCTTTTTTCATACGAAAAAATGATCAAAATACCGGCAACACCTAATATTTATTATATAAATTAATAAAAATATATAATTGTGTTTTTTTGTCTGTTCAGGATTAAAAAAGTTCTGCAAAACTACTGAAGAAAAAGAATATCATTTATTTTATATTTGTACTTTGCAATAACAAAACAAGCAATCGCTTTAAATAAATGATAATAAACGGGAATAATAAAAATATTTTATTTTTTTTTATAGAAAACTCATAAATTTTGAATAATATTAATATTGGAGCGCAAATTTTATTTACATGGCAAAAGTGAATGCATGTGTATTGTATTGTTTATACGTACCTCATCCACTTGTAGAATATAACATGGGGGCGATTCATCCATTGCTCCGGATATTGTGTACAGTTTAATAATGGATGTCATTATAGTTTTATTTTTATTTTATTTAATCTTACTGAATTATTTAAAAAATCTAGACACTCAAGCGTAAAATAAAAATAAATCTAATCCTAAAGTCTTCTTCTTATTCAAATAAAATTTCACAGGAAGCTGGCTTACCCATATTAGAAAAAGAGTTGCCAAATCCTTCACCATTATTAAATGTAAATAAACTTAATTATTGTGAATTTACGGAAAGTAATTCAAAAAACCTTCACTTTAGAAATATAAGGTATTTCAATTTTTATATTTGCATTTCAAGTTTGCGAAAGGTAAATAAATTTATCATTTATTTTTACTTTTTATTTCAATGGTCTGATTGGTCAACCGTGAATTATCAATCTTTCCATAGATCATCATTTAGTATCGCTATCATTGATAAAGCGAGAAGGAGGAACGAACAATAAAAGCTCATCACTCTACTCCATATATCGCCAACAGGCCTAATCCATTTTACTAAACACAACAAAGAAGAAATGTAAATAAGGTATTGTTGCTAAATAATCAAGCAATGTTGGGAAATATACACACATTAAACGGAAAGGTTCCTTTGTTGATATTTTGCTATTTAGCAGTAGAGGAGCATCGAGATTGCCGGAAAAGGAATCGTGTAAGATGTAGAAGTCCTCTGCGCTGCAATTCCTCTTATGTCTTTTCTCATGTTTGCCTGTTCATCTGCGCCCGTCCAACTCTGTAGCGTCTGCGATAAACTTTTTCCCGTTCACGAAAATGAAAATAACTTCTTGTAAGAGAATTTGAATATAGCCCAAACCTGTCAAACGACAGGGCTACAATGCAACAAATATTGAGAACACATTTGTTTTCTCCATTTTAGGTCATTACTCATAAACTACACCATATTCGTGATGTGAATTCTACAAAGATAGAAAAAGTTAACTACGCCCTCTCTATATTATAGAGCATAAAAACTGCTTCCCCTTTTTTTATATCCTATACTACTTCGAGATATATTAAGTTTGCGAAGATGTATGTAGCACCCAGTTAGGACCTGAAATAAACACATGCTTTACTATACCTGCTTGAATAGAACTGTCTGTGTGTTCATCTAATTTCTGTCTATGTATACTTGTGTTCAACCTACAGGTCGCAATTTTGAGATATTTTAATGAAATCTGGTACACTGACGTATTTTGGTTCAAAGACGAACGCCGTTAAAAATTGCTCGTATAGCACAAATTTTCGACCATTCTCTCTATAACGTCTTACCTTGATAAGTCGTTATATGAAAAATTATTGTAATTTGCAGAAGAGTAAAGAATTGTGTTAATTGGTGCGAAAAATTTGGTTCGGATGTGAAGAGTTTAAAAACACTCTGTTATATGGAAACTGAATCTTTAAATATGTCCGACAAATTATATTTTTTTAGTGTCTAGTTGCTGATCAAAATCTGCCTATCGTGTGTGCCCTATTCTGAACATTTCTGTAGTGAACACCCACTATGTTTAAAATTTCAAACAAATCCATTCAATAATTCTTCTTCAATATTCCAATTTTCGTGAAAATCCTCATAAGGGTAGGATCGAAAAAATAGGCCAAGATGATTCAAATTTGGTACAGTTAATTTTTCTATATTAAATTACTATTATGATATAATTTTCATCGTGAAGCGTTGAAAATTATACCTTTTTGTCGTTTGAACTTCAGTTTACGTTATATGAGAGCGAATTCAAAAATTACTCCAGCCGGTACAAAGTTTTCATAACAATTTAGAATGCCAAAATATTACTACTTAGCCACTTTTTTAGCGAAATTTTGAAAATTACGTTTTTTTCCGCCCTAGTTCTAACCATAAACGATGCTAACTAGCAATTGAGTGTACGTACTATTATAGCTCTCTTAATCGGTTCTCGAGAAACCAAAAGTTTTGGGCTCCGGTGCAAGTATGGTAGAGTGTAGTAGGGTGGAGTCTGCGGCTTAATTTGATTCAACGGGAAACCTTACCAGGTCCGAACATAAACATGTAAGACAAATTGATAGCTCTATCTCGAATTTGTGGGTGGTGGTGCATGGGCTTTCTTAGTTCGTGGATTGATTTGTTTGGTTAATACCGATAACGAACAAGACTCAAATATTTTAAATAGATGATTTTGGGATTATGGTGGTGAAGCTTTTATGGCCTTCATTTACGAGCACAGCAAAATGTGTGAGTGGTTAAATGTGTCCATAAAAGTGGATAAATGTGTTCATGAAAGTATCAACGTGTATTTCCTGGACCAAGAGGTGCGGGTAAACCGCCGAATCGCTTTCATGCTTGAGATTGTGAACTGAAACTGTTCACATGAACTTGGAATTCCCAGTAGGTGTAAGTCATTAACTCGCATTGATTACGTCCCTGCTCTTTATGCACACCGCCCGTCGCTACTACCGAATGAATTATTTAGTGAGGTCTCCGGACGTGATCACGCATGTTATGTGTTGCGGATGCTTCGCAAAGATTGGCCGAACTTGATAATTCAGAGGAAGTAACAACGTTTCCGTAGGTGAACCGGCGGAAGGATCATTAAAGACATTCCCAATCCGAAAGAAATAATTCGTATATAATATGAATTTAAAATCGAATGATACATGCAATATCATTAAAAGTATGAGCTGTTAAAATCCGCTGGAATGTGCATAAATATAATATGGAAGATTCGACCTCGATAGACGGTCGACTAAATTCTAAATGATATAAACGTCATTTGACGGAAGGCTTCTATCCCTTTGCGTAAACGCGCCATTAAGGTACGCTGAAAGGTGCATATATAAAAAATTTATTGTACATATAAAATAAATGTTGGCGAATGAAGGCCAAAATAATGGGTTGATAAAAGTTAATTTGGTTCCTATGTTTTAATTCCGCTCAATAATGATGAATTTTAATAAAAAGAATCTAAGCCATTCGCAACATAATTGTAAAATGTATGTATAAATGAAATTTATTTAAAAGGATTTTTAATAAATATGAATTAAATTGACATAATAAAACATAAACGGAAATTGATAATCACTCGGCTCATGGGACGATGAAGAGCGCAGCAAACTGTGCATCATCGTGTGAACTGCAGGACACATGAACATCCTTGAACGCATACCGCAGTGCGCCCTGCAAAGTAGTTTAATTATATTATGAAGTGCTGCTTAGACTACGTTTGTTTGACGGTTGTAAGATTGTGCAAATCAAGTTGCTTAAATAATTTTATTATAATGTATGTTACATTTTTTCATCTCTTATTCAGGGCAGGAGGAACGTCTAGTATATAAAAATAAAAGTATCTACGTTTGCCTTCTTTCTTGACTTTGAAAATTTGAGGGAAAAAGAATAATATTTCTATAAAGTACAACCTCAACTCATATAGGATTACCCCCTGAATTTAAGCATATTAATGAAGGGAGGAAAAGAAACTAACCAGGATCTTTTTAGTAGCGGCGAGCGAAAAGAAAATAGTTCAGCACTAAGTCACTTTGTCTTTAATGGCAACTGTGAGATGCAGTGTATGAAATATTCAATTTTAGTATGTGAAATTAGCGATTTGAGTCCTTTTTAAATGAGGCCATTTACTCAAAGAGAATGCTAGGTCCGTATAACGTTAACGATTATTAGAGAACAATTCTAAAGAGTCGCGTGCAGCACTAAGTGGGTAGTAAACTCCATCTAATGCTAAGTATAGCCATGAGATCGAAAGTAAACAAGTAGCGTGAGGGAAAGTTGAAACGAACTTTTTCCGAGATTTACGTAAATCGTTGTCCACATTTTAGTTTACCTGAGGATCCTTATCATCCATCAATATGCATTTCCTTTCATCATATTAATGATGGTTTGTTGAAATGCCTTAATGTGCCAAATCAAACTTTTTTAAATAATTATTATGATTTTCATAAAATTAATATTGTATTACTAAAACATCGTCTTTCACATCTGACGCTTGATTTCTCAACCGGTAGTATTGAAAGCTTATTGTCATCGTTCTACAATATATTAAATCAAGCTATTTCTACATCCGTTCCGATCAAACAGCGCCGTCCTCGAAGCAAGTGTCCCCCGTGATTTAATAAGACAATTAAGTATCACAAGAATAGAAAAAACTCGCTATTCAAAAAATAATCGAAAATTGGCTCTGCGCTCGACTATGTCGCTTACTCGGTGGCGAGGCATAGATTTAACTCCCTCAACCATCATTATTACTGCAGATACCTTCAGTTCATTAAATCCTCTCTGTTTGCTAATCCTAAATACTTTTTTAAATTTGTTAACTCTAAAAGAAAAATTTCCACATATCCCTCTCATGTTTCTTTTAATGGCTCTGATTCCTCGGATGATTTTGAAATCTCAAATCTTTTTGCCGAGTATTTCCGACGAAACTTTTCGATTGGTAATTTCGATTTATCAGCAAACTACCCATATCCTATAACTAACTCTGTCTCAATTTCGGAAGATGACGTTTTTAAAGGGTTGAGTTCTCTAAAATATTGTTGTGCGCCAGAACCTGATGGAATTCCATCATGTGTACTTAAATCTTGCGCTGTCGAGTTATGTGGTGTGATCTCAAAGATATTTAACCTGTCCTTGGATTTAGGTGTTTTTTCCCTTCATGTTGGAAGAGTAGTTTCCTTATTCCTATCCACTAAAGTGGAAGTAGACAATTTGTTGAGAGCTACAGAGACATAACCAAGTTGAGTGTCTTGCCCAAATTGTTCGAGCGAATTGTGACTCAGCATTTGACCTTTGCCATTAATTCGTATATTTCTCCGCACCAGCACGGCTTTCGGAAAGGGCGATCTACAGTCACTAACTTGTTAGAGTGTACTTGTCATGTTTTCAAGGCTTTTTCTAGTGGCTCTCGCACTGATGTCGTATACACAGACCTTAGCAAAGCAATTTATACATCAATGATGTGCTTCAGTGAGATCTTAATGTATGCTGATACTGTGAAACTGTTTTCTTCCTTTTCCGTAGAATCGCAATCAAATCATCTTCAAAGTGATTTGAATAATTTGGTTGCATGGTCCTCTTTGA